AGAGAGTTGGAAAGCTTGTGTCTTTGTGGGTAACTTGAACATTTGGGCTCATGCAAAATCGCACCGATTTTGGGATTTCCCCACAACTTTTTGCGTCAGCAAAAATGTTGTGCTGGACCGCATTCCTGTCACTTCGCAGTGGCTTTTCGTTGGTGCAGTTTGTATCCCACCCTCCCACCCCTGACTTCTGGGTGTGTGTTTATCGATATATCGTATTGGTTTTTCTTATTGGCCATGTGGCTGTTGCAGTTACGACTGCTTTTCTTTTTTAGTTAAAAAACGTAGGGGTGGTGTGTGCGTCGTGGGCCATTGTATGGTTACATACAGCTTCAGATTGTATGGCTAGTGACAGGGGGGTTGGGTCTGCAGGGGAAGAATACAGTGATTGAACTGAAGCTGGATGATGACCGTGTGGTGAGTGTGTGGGGGGTTTCGAGATGCCGTCCTGGGGCAGGGATGTCGGTCCTTTAGCTTGGACGGGTGTTGTTACATTCATTGTAACATTTTGTCGTGTTCTGTGTGTTTTGCTGTGCGACTACAGTAGCAGCAGTGTCTTGTGCTAATTTTTCTTATCACGCCCTATGCGTACAATTATTCAAGGAAGAAAAAAAAATCAGGAAGGAGATATAATAATATCAATAATAAAGCCATTGCCGAGCCACCGTGCTCACAGCAGAGACTTCTGTGTGTGTTATTGTTGTGAAGTGGACCACAAAGACGCTACCTGTAACATACACACCTACATGTAGTACATGTAGTACCGTACCTCTTGGACATGGGTGTGAAAACAATGATTGGTAAAATGGTTGATCCAATCGAATATATCTCGCCATTGAATCATGATGACAATGCCATAACACTGTTATGACACTTCTCGAATTCTCCCATTGTTGTTCGGACAAATAATGAATGACTGTCGCACACGAGAAAGACAGAAAGTCGGACACATGGTGATCCCATGCAGACGTTGCAACACCCACAACAAGGCAGCGTTGTTTCGAGTGCTAAGCGTCGAAAGTGTCCTCCCTGTCTTGGCCTGCTGGCTAAATAATACAGTATGATCCATATGTTTGAGGGAAAGTTGTGAACGGGAAAAAGTACAGTCGTCCCTCTCTAATCCGGCACTTTATAATCCAGCACCCTCGATAACCAGCACAATTTCCAGCAGCCAAAATGTCCTCTTCATGCACATTGCAGCAGTAAATCAGATTTGTTAATCCAGCACCCTCCCTAATCCAGCAGATTTTCGTGGCACAAATGGTGCCGGATTATAGAGGGACCACTGAATTAAGAAAAAATTGACTGTCATCGCCAGGACTCGAACCAGGGAGTTTCGCTTATGGCCAGGGATGCTCCACCACTAAGCTATGGTGTAGTCTTCATCCGAGCAGCGACCGTTCAACATGTTCTCCAGACTTCAGGAATTTATACAATCATCTAGTTCGGGTATATTGTTATTTTTTGTTACAGGGACCATGCGGATCTTGAAAACCGGTGTGCGCTCACGTGAGGAGCTCCACAAGTCCGACCACGTCTATTTTCGTCGAAACAATACCAGATCATTCGAATAACGGCGATATTCTTAGCACAGCAAGTGCATGTGCAGGCATTCCGACACGCAGGAGGGCCTACACTGCCATGCACTGGAGTGTCTGATTCTGAATCAGAGTTTGAGTCGCAAGTGTGATCTTTCAGTTCTCACTCGTCCGCTCCAGTGCTGCCAAATGTTCCAGCTCTGTTTGCCAGCGAGTCTCCCCCGCCATGGCCAAGCAAACATGATCTGGCTATGGAGTATGGTGGCAGAACAATCTAGAGATCTCTACTCTTGCAGCTAGGCCTCATAACAAAGACATAAGCCATTATTGTTACTGGTACTTAGACGCCGTTTCACTTCATCACGCACTGAATACATGTAGGCTACGTGTGCGCGCCATGATGTACATAAAGTAACAAGTCATAATCAGTGTACATCATGTAGCTACGTAGATCGGCAAGAGCTGCATTGTGTTGGCGTCTGACAACGTCTCATTCGTACTCCTCAGCTGAGCGTGGGTATTATTGTGGAATCGGCAAGCGGCGGAGGACTATTTAGATCTCGCACGTCTGAGTATTGACGGCGGCTGTGAACCTCGGCTTGCTCGGCTAGTAACGCTATGCACAATGTACCTCAGACTCCGAGCGTCCCACGCTGTCGCGGCTAGGCCTCCGGAATGATGCTGTCCGGCAGCAGGGATCTGAGCCCTGTGTGAGTGTGAAGGAAGTAGATCACAACATTCAGGACTCCCACTCGCCACGTCAGCCTGTTTCCAGTAGCCTAGAGCCTAGAGGTATAGTAGACTAGAGGTATTGTTGCGGCATCCCACGCTCGAGACTCTCTTGTCATGTTGTGTCCAAACCCACTGTTTAACTGTTGTTCTTGTCAGGCCAGCCACCACCACCATTACATTACATTATACTGCGCGGAGCGGTGACCGCGAAGGCGAAAATAGACGTTCCGGAGGAGAACCGAAAACACACACACCACGCTGTCCCTGCGGTCTGGACTACCTTATTCAGATTGCAAAAGAGCCATGACAGTGCAGAAATTCTGGTTTCTAATGCAGTAATGGACTTCGTACTCATGAGCACATCCACATAACTGTAAAATAAGATTAGCCTAAGTCTGACAGTGTCAGATTATCAGTTACCTGACTCCCGAGGAAGTAATTTGCATCATTCTCGACTCCTGAGAGAGTGAGGGAAATTGGGACAACATTCCATAATCACTCTTGTGGATGAGTATGTAATTTGGTGACACTTCGTACATGTACATACCGAGTCACCACCCTCCAGATTCCCTGCTGTTGTTGTCTGTAGGATTCTGTATTCGTGCGGTGAAGAACAGTCAGTCGAAATACGTGCTAAATGCTTCAGGCACGTCTCGGTGGAGACGTCTAGAGCAGACCCGCGAACTGCGACATGCATTTAGATTATAGCCATATAGGCCGATCTAGCGCTTCGTGTAGTGTGTGTGTGTGTGTGCAGGTGCCTGGTTTGCAAGCCTGCGAAAGATTGTCGATGAGCATCTTTACTGTGGTGTAGTGTAGTAGCTCTAATTATTTGGCACAGCTGGTGGTCGAGGTGCCGTCGTCCTGCTCAGCACGTTCAGCCACTAGAATTAGAATACCAGTGAGAATGCTAGAGTGTTTTCACCGTACGCATGAATGTGGTAAATTGAACTGCGTCTCTATGTTTGAGAGGAAACGATTTCCCCTTACAGATCTAAATCCCCGAAGATGCTCGGTTGATGATAGCGCACAGGCAATTGACAGATCCTATGGTGCGGGTGCGAGAGCTTGGCTAGAGGCAGACACTGAAATTGAGGGTTCAAACCACTCCACTATTGCTAGCCAGCAATAGTGGAGAGCTAACGCAGGGTTCTATCTTCAGCCCAGGTACAGCCTGTATCGACAATAAACGACGGGAGAGTGTATGCTAGACAACATCGCGCGCTGTCAGATATCGTCCCTACTCGCAAGTTGCCGAACTGGGGATGGACGAAGAGCGGACCGAACGAAACACTGCCTTGCAAGCTCTCTTTGCCCCATACAGGATCGAAATGTGAGCACACTAGTGCTACTTGTATATCTGCTACCATGCTTACTCGGCGTTCGACGCTAAATAAGGGAATATCAGGAAGACAATAATGGGTTCAAGCAACCTGCTCGAAGGAGGAGACCGCCGAATCCAGGACATTATTACGAAAACTAGAAGAATGGGCACCGGGACCTTTGTTCCTGACGAGCCCATGAACACAAGTAAGGTGGCCAGTTCTGCGAAGTGACGGCCACACCTTCACAATGGCAATACTTGCTAACAGGTTTCGCTCCTTTGTGTCCGTGAGTAGTTTGAAGACGTGTGGACAGCGGCGCAGCATTGTTGAAATATTGAAGAGTAGGTAGCAGTGAGTTCAACATGGTGACACCACTCAGAGATTGGGCTGCTCGGCAGGCGAACCTCCAGTTGTAATGAGCATTCCAGGAGCACAGTGACCGGCGAGTTCGCCAGGGAGGTGTTACCACCCGTTACTCCCTTCCATTCGTCTTCAGCATCTTGACACTCCACATGCACAGGGCGTTGGACAGACTGCACCGTTTCTGTGCTCGGACACAATGATCACAATACGAATGCGAAGCGGTGGAAAACAGTTACTACAGCAATTTTGTCTGCAAGTCCTGTTCACTGCCGGTTTTGCTTTCTCGCTAGCATAAAGACCCTTGTTCCACCCAACAGGCAACACTCTGATCAAGCCGCCAAGCCACGCGCACAAACCCCACAAACTTAATATTAGACACATTCGCATCATGTACCGTACAACGCCCTCGCGCACACGCAGGCAGCCGCCATCAGTTGTAGCAGCAGCTCTCAATCTGGTCATCCTGAATCGATAACGTATTTTGCGCCACATGTAATTGAGGATATGAGTGTGCCAGACCTCTATGGCTTATGACACCTCAAGGAGCAGTAGCGGGATTCTTGAATGGCGAATGCATGTCAGGCATGCACACCTCCTAATTAGAACCACTTCGAACTTACAAACGAAAACAGCACAGACCAGAAACTCGTATTGATACACCCAACAAAAATTTGTCTGCCGAGCCGCACCTATTATACCTTTCGTCGTTGTGAACAACGCAAGCGAGTTATTTTGTTCAGCGCGGGGGACACGCTTTCTCCGGGGCTCCCTGTTGTGCAGCGGACTGGAGGGCTACAGAAAACATTATCTCCTTCCTTTTGTTCTTCTGTCATGTTCATCATCGTTTCAACACGACCCTCTTTTCTCCTTCCTCGCCGCTCGCTTTATATACCTCGCATGCAAGTAAGTTTGATGTGAGCTTATAAGGCAGCGCTGTAAAGCATTCTGCGCAGAGCACTGCTTCAGTGACGTCACAACTCAGGCTTCTTCGCGGTACGGACGGTGCATAGCCATAGATCATGGACGAAAGGAAGTTTTTTGTGCATATCGCGCCAGGCTGGTCTCTCGCCGTATCAGTCCTGTGCATGTACTACTACTAGTACTACTAGAGCCGAGGAGGACTCAGCTACTGTACTGGTATGCTGGTATGATCAGCTAGCTGGCCGGCAGTGGTAGTGTATGTCAGTGAGTGGCGATGTTGCGACGACGTATGTCAAGTGCCGGTCGGACCGATAGACAAGGCCACGTCAAAGGTGACGTCTTCTGACTTTGGTCTCTCCGGCAAGCCAGATCGATGCACGGGTAATACCAACACGGCATTACCAGCAGCAGAAGTAGAAGCAGTAGCAAGGAGCAGCTGCAAACACACGCACGCTACCCCCAACCATTCTTGGCCTTACACGCTGCGTCCAGCCTGGGGACGGCGAGTTCACAACGCTTAGGTACCGAGGAGTGCTCCATTTATTTAGCTAGTTCTGCTGTTTCTGGGCAGTCAGACGAAGCAAGACCGCGGTGGAAAGGACGGAAAGAATTCCAGGCATTCTCCTTTGCTGGAAATATCAAATTTAGAAAGGAAGAAGTGATCAGACGTTACCAAAAATAGTGCACAATGGCACAAGGTAGGTGTGAGGTCGCGTGGCGTGGATGGTGTGCACCCAGAGGCCTGCTACTAGTCCTTCTGGCGTCAGTGGTGTGGACAGTGAGCTGTTTGGGCGATAGCAATATGCTGGGCTCCATGGACGCCGAGCGCGCCCGTCGCCAGGTGGTCCACGACAGCACTGCGACTCCGCCGCGTGCGTTCTGGTCGTCGGATGAGACCATCACCGAACCCCTTCCGAGCGCTAGTCAGAGCCAGGCTCAGCTACTGCAGGAGCAGCGACGACAGCAGCAGGTCAACTCGGCGGGGGAACTGAGGTACATGATGGATATCTACAAACAGCGGAGCTACCAGGTCCGCGAAAGTCCTGACATCGTCCACCACATGAAAGACGAGGGCAAGTGCCAGAGGCCCGAGTCGACGGTCATCCACTCCTTTCCGTTCATCGGTAAGTCGCCATGCATGCTACACCGCCGTGTCTAGATCATCAGAGTGGACTGGTGGTGGTGTCCTTGTTTGTTCTTGGAGATGTCAACAATCGATTCATCTCATAGCTGTGGGTAGCGATCAACACGTGGGTCCTGTGACTCCTGTCCTCTGCAGTCTGATACTGAGTGTGATAGTACTTCATGTAGTGGCCGCGCTCTTGGTTACTTGTAGTAGGTGGGACGGTATTTGACCTGTTGCCCAAGGCACGGAAGTAGCCAAATCACTAGTGGGATACTGTTTCACACGGGGGGATACTGCCTATTAGGTATATAATTATGACCAGCAGCTATGTAGATTGTAGCATCACAGTCACACACCACTGTGACACCAGGCAGTCACGCTCTTTTTCTCAGTTTTCAGGCCTGTGCGCTCCAGGAATTCCCATGTCATGCGTGACGGCAGCTCTCCGAATATGGCAAGGCCATTTCAAGGAAGCCTCGAGATCTGAAAGCCAGCAGCAGGCTTCGACCCAGAGTCTGAAGCATGGGTGTTGTTGTTTTCCAACTTGTCGAAACGTGTGCAGAATAGCTGTTTGTATAGTCTCCACACATCACAATGTGACAGTAGCACAGCTTGTGGTCAACTAATGAGTAATGCCTAAGACAGCGACTTAACATGTCATACTGTAAAAGCCATAATTATATATAACGAAGTACTAATTTTAACGAGTTAACGAGGAGAAATCTATCGTTAGAATAGAAATCGTTATACAGAAATCGACACATGTACTGTGCTATGGGGCGTTCAGAATGAGTGAGAATCGTTACGTTTGGTACACGTAATCTAGTCACTTTTGGGAAATCGTTATATGCGCCTCGTTAGAATAATGCCTTTTACAGTAGTGGTCCACTGGACATCTGATATTTGCTGAAGTCAGATTTTTAAGCATAATAATAGGCAAGTAAAAACATGTTGGCCTCTTCTAGTAGCCAACCATCGTGCACAAGATTTCAAAAACCAGGGTAAAATGCAAGTGAGAATTGTGATGTTGAATGGTCTCTGCTGGGATGATGACTACACCATAGCTCAGTGGTTAGAGCATCGCTGGCTACAAGCGAGGGTCCCTGGTTCGAGTCC